AAAAAATAATTACGGCCACTTTCTATTTAACCGGCAAACCCTTGAGGTTCCTTTACAGTTTGATATTGGTTGGCCAATTATCGAATTGGGAAGAATTCGCTAAAAAATTGGAGCTCCGATTTGGCAAGTACATCCAGCCAACTCTACGGGTTAATATCTGGCAATTGACGCCTATTGATTCTTCACTTACTGAGTCAGAAGAAGACGAAGCACTAATTACGGCCATTGAAGAAAATGATGATGAGATGATGGTGGAGTTCGAGGCGACGTTAACAGAGTAGGACACACAAGGAGTGGAGGACAGTACAAAACGGTTTTTATTCAAAACGTGTTTGGATAGTCAATGCAAAACGGTTGGATAGTCAGTGCAAAAAAAATGGACAAGGATTTTCACAACAAAAAGTAGAGAAAAAAATGGTTGGATAATCTATACCAAACAGTTATATAATTAATATGAACGCGTTGGACAACCATTTTTTATTGAAAAATAATAATAAAAAGAAAAACTAGGTTGAATAAGCAGTATAAATTAATTGGATAATTAGTATTAACATATTAGACAATTATTTTCTAAAACAATAAAGATTGGATAACCAGTACAAACAAAATAGATAATCAGTTCAAACTGGTCGGATAATCAGTATGAACACAATGGATAACCGATTTAGGAAAAACTAGGTTGGATAAGCAGTACCAATTAATTGGATAACAAGTACAAACATATCGAACAAGTATTTTCAAAAAAATAAAAAAAAAATAGCTAGAGAAACAATAGCACGGAGTTGGATAATCAATACGAACACATTGGACAAGCGTTTTCTCAAAAGAAAAAAAATGATTGGACAAGCAATGGAAACTTATTTAGACAAGCAGTAAAATAATTGAATAACCAATATGAAACAATTGGATAATCACTATAAACACATTGGACAACTATTTTTCAAAAATAAATGATTGCATAAGCGGTATAAACAAAATGAATAATCAATAGAAACACATTGGACAACTATTTTTTAAAAAATAAATGATTGGATAACCGATACAAACAAAATGGATACTCAGTTCAAACCGGTTGGATAATCAGTATAAAAACAATAGATAAGTGCTTTCAAAATATCTATATTCTTTCATTTCTGCCAATAAATTTAAATGTGTTTAAAGCCTGAAAAAAATATTCGATATAGATCTTGTTGGATAGACCTCGTCAAATACAATAAATTTCATGTATAATTCGTTTACAAATTATTGACGGATTGAGAGATATGCTCGTTTGAAAATTAGAGATGTTTTTTATACAAGAGAGAAAAAAGTGACAGAGACTAAACTTGTAAAATATAAGAAATTAGTTAGAAAGGAGGAAAAATAAGTAATAAGGGAGTAATATAAAAAATAAGAGGGGTGCACCCACTATAGACTCAATTCGTTAATCCATTACCTACGCGGTACGCAAGAAGTGATCAAGCATTTATTCCGGTACATGATGCATACAAAAATTAATCTATAGTATATATATATTATATTAAGAGAGAAATCAGAGAGAGAAAACAAAAAAGAATTCTAAAGGTGTCACATAGGATAAAATCTTATGTGTCATTTTTCTAATGGTTGAGTCAAAAAATATTTACAACAATTATACTAATAGTCCTTCAAATTTTATGTAAATAAAGTTTTATCAAATGGCATTTAAAACTATAGTTTAAAATAGGAAAATAAAAATTAATTAAATTTAATGGACGGATTAATGAACATTAATGCACCAGAAATATTCTCTCCCCAAAAGAATCCCCAAAATTACTACTGGACTCATTTAATTAATCTCTTTAAAAAAAAAACTCCCTCCCAATCATGTAAATCAATAGACTACAATTCAAAAAAAAAAACAAAAAAAAAAACCATTCATTCAACATTAATGTTATCTTTAAAATCTTCTCCAGAAAACATGACCCTGTATTTTTCGCCAATAAAAAAAAAACAGGTACAAAACTTGCCTTCAATCTATCTATACTATTATACTAAGAGAGAAACCAGAGAGAGAAAACAAAAAAGAATTTTAAAGGTGCCACATAGGATAAAATCCTATGCGTTATTTTTCTAATGGTTGAGTCAAAAAATATTTACAACAATTATACTAATAGTCCTTCAAATTTTATGTAAATAAAGTTTTATCAAATGGCATTTAAAACTATAGTTTAAAATAGGAAAATAAAAATTAATTAAATTTAATGGCCGGGATTAATGAACATTAATGCACCAGAATTATTCCCTCCCCAAAAGAATCTCCAAAGTTACTACCGGACTCATTTAATTAATTTCTTTAGAAAAAAATCTCTCTCCCAATCATGTAAATCAATAGACTACAATTCAAAAAAAAAATCAATCATTCAACATTAATGTTATCTTTAAAATCTTCTTCCAAAAACATGACCCTGTATTTTTCACCAATAAAAAGAAAAAAAAGGTACAAAACTTGCTTTCAATTATTACTAAAAGGATGGGATTTAACTATAATTAAATGTTATCTTTTGAATTTCAAACCAATGCATTTATTTGTGTAATATAATATTTACCCAAATAAATATAATCTTTTCTTAATAATATCTCAAAAGTTGTTATAAATTTTATCTTTATCACTGAAATTTTGGATAATCAATTATCATCAATCCCAATTTATCTCTATTTATTTCTATTTTTGGATAGTAAAATTTTGGATAGTAAAATATACTCCAAAACACCTACATTACTGATGGATTATAAATAAAAATAGTAAAATTCATTTTACACTTTTTATATTTTTTTTGTAGATTTTTCATAATGTATATAAATAAATCCTGCGCATCGCGGAGGTTTAACATCTAGTTTATACTACTACGACACAAATCATGGTTGGTTTGTCTTAGGACTATCAGTTAATAGGTCTAACCAGAGGACCTGCTCGAACCGAACCTATTTCGAGTCAACCGGCTCGAATAATCGGGTTAATTTCGAGTTTTTCGGTTTTAACTGAAAAAACTGCATAGTTAATCGGTGGGGGTGCGGGGAGAAAAAATTTGTTCGAGCCCCGCCCGAAAACCCGAAATTGTCCAATTTTTTTCTTTCCCAGCCTCCAGCCCTTGACCTCCATTTAATTAGTTGAGCTCCGCCTTTCCTCCACCTCCATCTCCACGCTCCACCCCCCATCACCACCTCCCACCTCCACCTCCATCTCCACCTCCGTCTTCATGGCTCCACCTCCCATCACCACCTCCCACCTCCACCTCCATCTCCGTGGCTCCACCTCCATCGTCCAGAATCCACTAATTACACCACCACCAATCTGACCATCGCCCAAAACCAGCACCAATCACCATCGCCTCCAAAAGAAAATATGATTTTCACTTTTCGGATCTGAGATTTTTATTGGATTCAAAAGAGCAAGGGATTAGTCTGATGATTTTTTATTTTTTATTTTTTTGGATTCAATGAGCAAGGGATGTGGTTTTTTTCCCCCTTACAGCGGAGATCTGTAAAGAAGAAGAGGTGCTGTTGACTCTGATGAATGATGATACTGATGATGGTATTTTGGAATTTGAAGAGGTAGACTGATGAGGAAAGCCAAGAACATTGAAAATCCGAAGATATGTTGGGATTTCGGTTGAATCGGCCTCCGAACCGAAAACTCAATTGTTTATTCGCTTCGGCTCAGTTCAGGATATAAAATTTTCAGTTCGATTTTGGGCGGGAAAAAAATCCGATTAACCTGAACCGCACTGAACCGCCAGCAACCTAGTTTGTTTTTAGTAAAAAAGACCAATTTTTTTCACTTAATTGAAAGATGTAATTGGTTGTAAAAGTTTAGCGAATGTAATTAGCCATGTCAATAGCCGTTGGACGATTTTCAACTAAAGTAATGATAGTTTGTCTTCTGCGCCGAAAACCAGACAAGAAGTGTCTGCTTTAAAATTTGGACTAATTGTCTTGAAATGCTAGTAATTGGGATTAAGTAGATGCTGATTCAGTGTTCTGGAGTAGGTCACGGCCGCGTTACATAAATGCAAATAAAATGACCAATCATGTGTAATCTTTTGGTCTTTATGCCTCATTTAAAATTATTAAAAATAGAAAGAAAGAAAGAAAGAAAGAAGAAGAAAAATTGATGAATCATGAACTTCAGAATAATGGGGATGGTGACTTAAACCACTAACAAATAAGTTATTAATTCTTCATTAGGTAGTTAGTACTATCATCTTTGTTGTTTATAGCGATAAACTCAAGGAGAAAAGCGATAACATTTGGGCTAATTGTCTTGAAATGCTAGTAATTGGGATTAGGTAGATGCTGATTCATTGTTCTGGAGTAGGTCACGGCCGCATTATATAAATGCAATTAAAATGACCAATCATGTGTAATCTTTTGGTCTTTATGCCTCATTTAAAATTATTAAAAATAGAAAGAAAGAAAGAAAGAAGAAGACAAATTGATGAATCTTGAACTTCAGAATAATGGGGATGGTGACTTAAACCACTAACAAATAGTATACTATTAATTAATTCTTCATTTAGTTAGTACTATCATCTTTGTTGTTTGTAGCGATAAACTCAAAGAGAAAAGAGATATCAGCGCCATTGCTAGTAGTTAAGGGGTTCTGCAAAATCAATGGAGATTAGTCCGAGTAACATGACCATAGCCAATCGCACTGGCCGTTCGCTTCGTGTCGAAAATGTGCAAGAATTAGCTTCCAGAAACCTGAGAGATATCCCAAATCGGTACATCCAGGTCCAGCCTGGAGTTCAGACAGATGAAGTTTGGGTCAACGATTCATGCCAAATTCCAGTTATTGATATGAGCAAGCTTGTCGCATCTGGCAGCAGCGTCGAACACCAAACTGAAATGTCGAAACTTCACCAGGCTTGCAAGGATTGGGGATTCTTTCAGGTAATTTTGCAATTTGTTGTAGCATATAACTAATGTTTGGGATCTAATAATCATTTCGGTACTTAAATGAAAAAAAACCAAAAAAACAGTTGACTAATCACGGAGCAGCAACAGAAATCGAAAACATGAAAGCCGCGACTCAGGAGTTCTTTATGTTGCCATTAGAAGAGAAGATGGTGTATGCACAACAGCCAGATAATCTTGAAGGATATGGTCAAGCATTTGTAATGTCAGAAGATCAGAAACTGGACTGGAGTGACATGTTCTTCATTTATTGTCTTCCCGAGTCTTCGAGGAATCTGAAATTCTGGCCTACCAATCCTGCTTCTTTCAGGTTCATCATATACACAGGAATTCGTTCCTGGCAACTTCAATTCATACGTTAATGTCTTAAAACAATGCATTCCTGTAACCAATACAGGAACTGAAAACAGAACATTCATTTGATTGAGCATATTTGTTAGCATTTTACGACAGAAGTTTAAATGCAAACTTACAACTTTCTGTGCTGAAATATATACCCAGATCAAGCTTAGAGGAATACTCACGCGAGTTGCACAAAGTCTGCAGTAGCCTCTGTGAATTGATGGCCACCAACCTCGGGGTGGACGTTGAGGAATTTTCCGGCATGTGTAAGGAATTAGTACAACCAATAAGAATGAATTACTATCCACCTTGCCCCCAAGCTGACCAGGTTATCGGTTCTAGTCCACACTCTGATAGTACTCTTCTAACCTTGTTGGTTCAAGTCAATGAAGTTGAAGGTCTCCAAATCCGCAAAAGTGGTAAATGGATACCAATCAAACCTCTTCCTGGAGCCATCATTGTTAACATTGGTGATGCATTGGAGGTAAATTAATTCGTTCTGATTGCCAAATTTTGCTTTTTATACATATCACATTTCTCCCCTTGCTCAGCATTGGGTTAATGTTGTTTTGGCTGCAGATAATGAGTAATGGGGAGTACAGAAGCATAGAACATCGAGTTGTGGTGAATCTCCATAAGGAAAGGCTCTCCATTGCTGCATTTCACAGTCCAAATCCAGAAGCGAGAGTCGGTCCTTTTGCGGATCTTGTAGAAGAAAATGGATCCAAGTATAAAACAATGAAGTATAAGGACTATCTCAAACTCTATTTGGGCTGCAGACAAGATGGCAAAAGTGTGATCGACAGCGTGAAAATTTACAACTGAAATACCAGTTGCACTGTAGTTTTTATCTAGTGAATTCACATGAAATTATCATATAAATTGCAAATTCATTTAAGCAATTAAATGTTCATCATGTAACAAACACATAAACACCAACCATTTGCTCCTTTCAAATCAAAAGTTTTAATTTGACTGCCCAAATTCAAACAAATGATATATGCTGCACTCATAAAAATTCTACACACAAGAATTTATTTTTTTATTTTGTTTGATTTTTCTTAAGTTTTTATCGTCCACTTTTATGTCGACTTTATCCAAGCGCGGACTAAGTCGACGAGGCCAAACAACTAGACACTTTAACAGATGTTGACTTTTCTGTCAACTTCAATTCAACCGACAAAACAGTCGACATAGCAAACAGTCAGAAATATCAACGAAGCCAACTTTTCTGTCAACTTTACTTTTGTTGACGAACAAGTCGACAAACAAAACACGTAACAAATTCCAACTGATGTCGACATTCTTTTATCAACAGCAAGGTGAAAATTTATAACTTGCAATCAATTCACTATTGCTATACCAGATAAATGCCAATTTTGTATTTCCTTTACAAACCATGATAAAACATGACAAAATTCTCTACCAAATCTTTCATGACATGCATTTTCTTCATTAATCATCATATTAATTAATTATTATGTTTTGATAGAAGTCACTCATGTGGGAAATCAACAAATAATGCATAATAAATTCTTTTACACACAAAAGTTCATGAATTCTATAACTATGTTTCACTCAGGCATCGATCTCGTCACTACATTCATGTATTTATCAACTCAATACATACCTTGAACTTGGAATGTCACAATTCACAAGTAAAATATAATTCTTACTTTGATGACGAGGTCCATTGTATTCTAACATTGCCCTTTCCATTGAATCCAGTGATTTGCAACCTTTCCATCATTTTCGTGTTCAACGAAAATATCCTTGCTTGATTCTTCAAGTACTAGTCATTGTTTAACCGAAAATTTAGCCTAAAGATTGTTGGAATTCTACTTCAAGAATAGTGAACAACAATGGATGCACTAGATCAAAGAACAATAAAAGGAATTTATAGTTAGGATAAAAGAAAGTTTTGTCTCCAAGTCACAAGTAAACTTGCTTTCCTTTAGGCTAAATTCGTCCACTATACAGTGCAATTGTCTAGGTGAATTCCCTATGAAATAAAATGGAGATCATGTTGTTTCACTATGCACTTTAGTGAACCAACAACCTGATACAAGGATAAGAAATGTCATTGGAAATATTCCAATTATTTGGTGATTTTATTGTACACTAAAAGCATCCAAATGATCCATATTTATAGAGTTTAGGTAACTCTTGAAGATTAGACATAACCCTTGATTATGGTCATAGACATTTCATTAATGTCTTTTCATATGAAGTCAATAGGCACAACTTATTAATTGTGTCCATTCAATATATTGGAAGCCAATAATAGGCACAACTTATTAGTTGTGTCTCTGCAATATACTGAAAATAACTCCAACATTAAATACTACCACAGAGAATTTATACCCAGTCTGCTTCTCTGCCCAGAGGAACAGGGAACACAAGGGTTTTGGGGAACAATCAAAGTGATTGAACATTTGCAATAGCAAATCCGGTGTAGGCATGATTCCGGATTGAGTAAGTGCATTTTCAAGGTCTGGACATGGCTGGACTTCAGAATCGGTGGGGATGTCCCGTTATTTATTGAAATCAGAAGGACAATCAAAATTAGGAGTTTTACAGTTTTGGGATAGGCGAGGTACATGGTAAGAGGGTCGTCGTGTTAAATTAGGTTGAATCGATAGTGGTTTAATTTTTACAGGCACCTGTCGTCTCAGAGGGCTTTAGCGGTGATTTGGTAGAGAAGAGGGCTTTAGCTGTTGAGGTGGAGTCGTGGCGGAGAATGGTGGTTAGAGCACTAATATGTTGGACTTGAGGAAGCATTTCTCCACTTTCTTTTTCTTTTCTTTTTACGTAAGTGGGCCCCACAACTTTAAAAAAATAATAAAAATAAAGAATTAACAATTAAAGAGTCTTATGGTTAATTTTTATAAAATTCCGTTAAATGGATCAATGTTGATGAATTAACGAAAAGATGTTGATTAATTTTGTCAGTTAAAAATTAATGGTAACAAGTTGTGTCCCCCCCAACAATTTAGGGACCAAAAGTGCGTTTTGTCCTAAAAAGATATTTAAGGCTGATCCCATTCACCTAATCAGGAATCTTTTTGTTTATAATCTTTAAAATAAAAATTAAAGAGGAAATTATTCATGAAAGGAGATCAAAAGTCAAGAATTAAAGGATTATCAAACTCAATCAAACGTTCAACGATTACATCTTTTCATTTTCTTGGTAAAAAGAAAAGGATTAGTTAACACTTAAAAGAAGGACTACCAAACTCATTCAACATTTTGCAACTATAATATCCTAGAGGAAGTAGACGCACTTCGTGCCTTCATACATTTGACGTGATATAAATTATATCAAACAAAAAAATATAAATTTCCAATAATAAAAGATTTGAGAGTCCCTTAATTGTTCATTACGCTTTCTAAAACAAAACAAAAAAAAGAAAAAATCTTAACAAATTTATCAATCATAAACGAAATTCTTGTTAAATTTAGTTTAAGTATAAGTAGATTTCAACTTTAAACAAAAGCGAAATTAATTTCTTCTTAACAACTAAAAAGAAACATCAACGAATCCAACTCAAAGAAGAAAAAAATTAACAAAGATGAAAACTACAATATCAAATCTTTGTAAAGAGTTCTGGTTTTGATTTTTAAAAGATGAATGAACACTAAATTTCAGAAGAAAAAAAGAGGATGATGACCAAAGCTAGTAATTAGTTACCTTCAAGGATTTAGGATAGAGAGATCACAATGTATAGATAGCAAACAAGTGAAAGAAAAAGATAGAATGACAAAACTGTTATTGTTGGTAATTATATATCGACAAAATTAATTTAAGATATCCGACTCTTAATATTCTTTTACAGTTGTAAAATTATTCCTTGATGTCGTATTCATGTGATCATTAAAATTAAAAAAAAAAAGAGAGAAGAAGAAAAGACATTGAGGAATTGAGATTGTTAATAATTACTGAAACTTGAAATTGTTATATGACTTATCAAATTCACCTAAATAATTATTTTTGTAATACGAGACTTTCAAATTGTAACTTCTATATTAAGTCTTTTCATTTCTTGGCTACTTCTTATTTTATTTTTTTTAACTAAAAACCCAAATTTCCCACACATGAAAAAAATGACAATCAAAGTTAATGCATAAGAAAAGATGGTTAGAAAATCGAAGTTATATAATGCATAATGAAGGACTACCAAACCACAAAAACACATTCTGCAATTATATATAATGTTGAGTATGAGTATGAAAAGTTACTATCAGACATGAAGATCATTAAGATGGTGTTGTGCTCCATGAACAGTCATCCAGAATGTCAAAAGAGTTGAGTAAGGATTGGGTTATGAATTAGTTTTCATCTTTGACTTGTTTAGCGATCAAATGTAGTCACACTTACTCACCATTGTCATCTAGTACTTTAGACTTAGTACTTTAGACTTCGGCCTCATTCATTGTCAAAAAAATAGAAGTTGCAGTTTTAGCTTCTTTTAAGGTAGCAGTCTATCCTAAGTGCATCAATTTTGGTACTTACAAACTACCAAATTCAACTTTCACGGCAAAAAATACCAATAATTCAATATTCATACTCTACAAGAACCGTCAATACTAACATTGGCTGATGAGTAAGTAGCGTTGGATCTAATGCTTTGAAATTTGTTAGGATTAGGTGCATATCCGTTTATTTAATCCCCTGTTAAACTCTTACTTTAATATCGACATCTTAATGTCCATACTTTATCGTTTTTCTTAATGTTCACAATTAATCCCACGTTAAGCTCTTACTTTAAAATTATTATTATTGGAAGAAAAATTGAAAATTTGCAATGAAGTTAATGTCCTTTCCCAATTTCCATCAAATTGTTAAATCTGTTTATAAGCTTTGGAATCATGGGTACATACAATTTTTTAGATATAAATCCATACCACAACCCTAGCAATTAAAATAACTTACAATTCTTTATAGTAATATTATCAAGTATGATTTCATTAGATTAATAGAACCACTATTGCCTAATGTTGGAACCACCAGAATAGGTAAATTTCCTAATCACCTTTGTGACACTAACTATATGAAGGGATTAAAAGTATAAATAAATATTAGAGACAATTTTCCAGCTTTCACGTTTCAATATAAGGCCTCTCACTGCCCATTGCTCCTTCTCCTTTCTTTCTTGGGGTAGGTTCCCATATGTTTAACGCATTGTCCATTGAGTTGTTTCCTACATAATTTTAGTATAAATATTGATATGAATCCTTACGGGA